AAGAATAGCATTAGATATAGTAAGCGATCTTGCCTCTGCCTATTTCCTATGAGTGGTTCCAACCTTTTTTGGTCACGAGAAGAGAATCACTTTATAACGGCCATAAAGCAGTATGTCTTTGTGAAAGTCTTTCGCGGACGTTATTGACAGTTACAAGTAATGGTACACATTGATTTGCCCTATATATTGACAGCCTTTGTTAGCGTCCTGCGGAAAAATGTGTACGAGTTAATCGATCTCTTGCTATAGCAAGACAGCTCACTTATAGGTGAAGTGTCGTAAGGACACGAATCTTTTTGTCTTCTGTAAACCTTCTTTCCTGTTCAGTTGTCTGTTTATTTCGAACTCTTTTTCGAGCGAAGTTGCATTCATGGAGAGAACCTTCATTTTGCAATCCCTAATTGTTACAATCTCTCAACTTATATTTGCGAAATGCAATACTATTTGTGATGTATTGTTGTTGTAGCCATTGGCCTCTTGTTAACGCTCACAATTTAAAATTCAATTCTTTACCAATTAGCACTTTCAGCTACAATGACTGAGTCGGAAAGGATAGAAAGGATATTGAAGGGGTTCGATCCGGTTAGTCATGGACTTTCAGAGGATTTTATACTTACCAAACTGACTGCGATGAAAGGCTGTGGATGCAAAGTACCGAGAGATGTAAGTTTTGGAATTTTCAAATATACAGACTGCATGTTGAGGCGCGAACCTACTAAAATAACGTTGCATTGCAACTCTGGTTATGATTTTTACATCATTAGATATAGTAAATCACTGTTTTTGCGAATCTCGCTGAGCAAATGTGCCTTAATATTCACATGTGGTTTGAGCTCTCAAACCAGATATTTTGTCTTTTTTTCTACTTTTTCTGTCAATTATGTTTACTACGGAGTTTTACAAATCTTTGGTTTTGCTCCTTTATCGTTTATTTTTAGGTTTTACTGGAGCTTCTCAAAACCTTTGACACGAACTTTGTAATCGATGGCGAGGGTGTTGGTAAATAATTATTTCAAATGATTCATCTTAACAATGCGGTAAACTCTCATTTAGCGTCCTTAAGGAATCGGTCTTGACAGTTGCGTGGTGCCGCTTCGCCACAAGGGTTTGAATCTCGTGCAAACAACAGATTTCTTCTATCCATTAATAGATGACCCATACTTAATGGTAATAACAATTTTCGCAAATGTTTGCGCTTTAGTCTAAGCCTCATCTTTCAGGGTCGTGTCACATGCGCGAATGTGTTAAGTGATTTGTACGCGATGGGTGTTGTTAATTGTGACAATATGTTAATGCTACTCGGAGTTGCTGTCGATTTGAATGAAAAGGAACGTAACGTCATTGTTTCAATGTTCATTGAAGGATTCAGGGTAAAGCTATTTCTTATTTTGTTCTAGCATTGCTTTTCCTTTTTTAAAATTACTTATTTCTTTTTTTTCATTTTATCTGGAAAATATGAGTGGGTGTATAAGGTACTCTAATAAAATTTATATGAGCTCTGGGCACACGGAAGGTATTTGCTTTGCTCTTAGTTAGAAAGTCTTTTTATGCTACATGGAAGTCCCATTATCACATGATTAGGCTATAAAGGCAATATGTTTCTTTTTGAAACCCTATGTACCAAGGTAAAGCAAAAGCTTCATGGCAACACCGCATTCACGGCTTTTCAATGTAATTCTATTCGTAGTAGAAATACAGGGTCTATCATAAGTTCAGATCTAGTTCAAACATCCTTCAAATTAGATCTAAATGCCTGAATCAGGTACTACTGATCAATAGAAAACAATGTTGCAAGACATCTTGTAACGTGATGAAATAATATGAAGGAATAGACATAGCTCGTTCACGTTCACTGTGTACAAGAGGGCATCGTTACCACGAAGCACTTGTCTAATCAGTCAAGCATCGCTGTAAACTTCTTTTTCAGACAAAAATCATTTTTTTTATTATTTTGACTTATTGTCCCTTCCTAGGATGAAGCAAACGCAGCTGGAACTAAAGTTCGTGGTGGTCAGACTGTTCGTTGTCCTTGGCTTCTTCTGGGAGGTGTAGCGACTAGCGTTGCTTCAGATAAAGAAATTATAATGGTAGATCGTGCAGGACCTGGAGACGTGCTCGTTTTGACAAAACCTCTGGGTGGTCAGGTACAAAACATTTTCGTCTACGAATTATCATGCGCATATGCTTGTCCTGCGCTGATTTATCTGATAGATACTAAGTTTGTTAGGTGCAAAGTCTGCAGGCTCAGAGAATGTAATTTTTCGGATCGCCTGTGTTCTTTGCAATCCCACTGTTATCTCCATTTTCACTTTTAGGTCGCCGTGAATGCCTACGAATGGCTAAAAAAGAAGAATGGACGAGTGGAGGAATATGGCCTTGATGAAAAGAAAATCGTCCGTGCCTTTCAGCAGGTCACTGAACAAATGACTCGATTGAACAGGTGGGATTTTGTACTTATATCTCCAAAAACTTTTTTACACCTCTTATCTCTCCTATTAAATATACTGTGAGATTTTGTTCCTTTAGTGATTCTCCTTATGGAGTTGTGCTTAAGATAGGTCCTTTCTAGGAATGCTGCTAAAATGCTCCATAAATTCAGTGCTCATGCTTCAACAGATGTAACTGGCTTCGGAATTCTTGGTTAGTAGTTTCTTTTACGTCAGCATTGTGTTTCTTCCGACCAAATAAAAGCTACCTTTGTCTCTTTTAATTGAATTAGATAACTTTTCCCAACCGCTAATGACATTTAGGCCACGCTGATAATCTTGCTCGAGCCCAACAAGAAAACGTGAAATTTGTGATTGACACCCTACCAGTCATTGAGTACATGGATGAAATCGCCCACAAGATGCCCAATGGGAACGGCTTCAATCTCTTTGGAGGCACTGCTGCTGAGACCAGTGGTGGTTTGTTAGTTGCTCTCAGTCCGGAGAATGCAGAGGTAAGTTTCTTTTATTCCAACCATTTTCTGTTATTAATTTATAATGTACATGTAGGGCTTCATTAACGGTATGAAATCAGCGGATGGATTTCCAGCATGGATTGTTGGACGCGTTGAGAAGCTCGAGGAAGGAACGAGCCATGCGGTTATTGATAAAGAATGCAAGGTGGTATCTGTACCCTCCGCTATACACAACTGAATAGATTTATCTTTATTTACTTATTTTCTTTTCAGTATCATATCCATCTAACTTAATTCGTTAGTTTTATCGTATTGCAAGAGTTTCCATATTCCACTGTTGATGATCGTTGAAAGGTTTTTGGAGATGTTTATTGTTATTTGTTTACTCGTTGTGATGTGCATAGTAAGGGTATAGAAGAATGTTACTGTTGCATATATGGCATATGACGAGCTTATGCAGATTAAAATTTTTCAGAAATCTTGTGTAGCGCAGGGGGTTATGCCTATATTACCTTGTTCTAATTTAATATTCGTCAACTAGTAATCAATACTTCGTGACTTTCTTG